ACTTGAAAATAAGGAGTGGTAATGCTGTCACTTTTGTGATAGCCACTCTCACTTTATGTCTCAGTGAGTACACATGTTGTGATAATGTAAGGAGGTTATTTTAATGAGATCTGTTTTCGTAAAGGGTAATAATATCCTCCCAGTACCTCAAAAATAATCAGCTCACTCACACACACACACACACGCATACACACACACTCACGCAAACGCACAGATATCTATCTTGCACAGGAGAGCTGCAGATAATGTAATTTTAAGAAATATGCCAAATTTTTAAATTGGAAATTATGTATAATTACACACACGTTTTGTACTATTGCTTGAAACAGTGAAGCATAATTAGCGGTACTTTAGCATGAAATAATGTTATATGTAGTGAGAGTAGTAACGTTCCCTAAGCAATGAAACATGTTTAGCGATTAACAAGCCAACATGTAGCGCTACCTAAAAAGTGAAAAACATGAGGACTGACCCATGTCTAACGATATATCAGGATTGAAACATGTTTAGCATTTCCAAAGGAGTAAATAATATGCGTTACTATCTAAGCAGCGTAATATATATAGCTTTTTATATGCAATGTTTTATCTCCCAAAGGCAAATATTTTATACTTCCCTTTTCGTCATTAGCAGATCTAACACTGCTTTTCTAATAGGCATTGTGTTGTATTGCTTCATTACTATCATAAATATTATCATTGTTCTTATTATCATTATTATTATTATCATTATTATTATTATTAGTGGTAGTAGTAGTAGCAATAGTAGTAGTGGTAGTAGTAGTAGCAATATCATTATTATTGTTATCAATGTTATTATTATTATGATTATTATTATTATTATTATTATTATTATTATTATTATTATTATTATTATTAGCAACAGCAGACGTTCTAGTTCCATTAGTGAAAGGTTTTGTAGAAGTAGTAGTATCAATACCTGTTTCATAATGATCATCAGTTTTATATCATTAATATTATTATTATTATTATTATCATTATTTTTCTTCTTCTTCATCTCAGTTTTAACCCATTTTTATATGGGGTCGCCGTTGTGAATGAGTCGTCTCCATCTATTGCTTTCTGTAGTAAATTTTCATCAATACACTCCCATTGCAAGTCTTCCCCTATACAATTCTGCTATCTTTTTCTTGGTCTTCCTCTCCTCCTTCTACCCCGAACATCCATCTCCATCGTATGTCTTCCAACATGATGTTCGTCCCATCGTAACAGGTGTCCATACTAACTAAGCCTTCCCTACTGTTTTTTCTTTGATAATTCAACTACCTTTGTCGATCCTCGTATATACTCATTCCTAATTCTGTCATTCCATGTTACTCCATACATCCACCTCAACATTCTCATCTCCGCTACATCCATCCCCTTCTCCTCTGCCTTCCTCATACTTGCTGTTTCTGTTCCATATAACATAGCTGGTCTTAAAACGGTCCTATGAAACTTTCCCTTCAATCTCAGTGGTATCTTCTTGTCACAGAGAACACCAGATGCAGGCCTCCAGTTATTCCATGCTGGCTGTATTCGATGGCTCACTTCTTGATCCATGCTTCCACTAGCCTCTACTATGGACCCCAAGTACTTGAATTTTTGTACTCTCTTTATTTCTTCCCCATCCATTCTTATGCTATGTCCACCATCCTCAGCAAATGTTGGCACACATATATTCGGTCTATGACCTCATCCTCATTCCTCTCTCCTCAAGTGCTGCTCTCCATCCCTCCAACTTCTCCTCCAAATTATCCCTCCTCTCTGCACACAATACAATGTCATCTGCATATAATATGCACCATGGCACTGCTTCTCTCACATCTTTGGTCATTACATCCCTCACCACATTGATGATGAATGGACTAAGTGCCGACCCCTAATGTAATCCCACTCCTACCTCAAATCCAGCTGTCTCTCCAACACTGCTTCTCACTCTGGTATACATACTCCTATACATCTCCTGAATAATTCTATCATGCTTTTCCGGTACCATGTTCTCCCTCAAACATCTCCATATTTCCTGTCTTGGCACTCCGTCATAGGCCTTTTCAAGGTCTATGAAAACCAGGTGCAAGTCTCGTTGTTTTTCTCTGAATTTCTCCATCAGCTGCCTTATACAAAAGATTCCATCTGTTGTGCCGCTTCCCTCCATAAATCCAAGCTGTTGTTTCCCTTTTCTCACTTTTTCTCTTAGCCTGCCATCTATCGTTCTCTCCAGTATCTTCAGCGTGTGAGACATTAGGATAATGCCTCCATAATTGCTGCATTCTTGGACATCACCATTACCTTTAAATACAAGTATTAATATACTTTCCCGCCACTCTTCTGGTATCTTTTCCTGTTCAGAGATTTTTGCCAAAATATACAAGATGTCTACCCCTTCCTCTCCTAAAGCTTTCCAAACTTCAAGAGGAAACAAGTCAGGTCCTGTTGCCTTCCCATTCTTCATTTTCTTTAAGGCACGCATCACGTCTTCCCTAGAGAACCCCATTACCATTCCCACGTTTACTTGTCCATCCTCTCTGATTAGTTTCATTTTCTTCATTTAGCCGTTGCCCAAAATATTCCT